TCACACTTTGATGTGATCTCTCTCTCTTTTTTTTGACAAGCACAGTACTGATGGGTATTTCATGGTAAAGCTGTTCCTTGTAAAGCAGAAGTCAAACTGTGAATGTCGTACGTGTAGAAACGGAAAAATACTGTTAAACCTCATGCTATTGACACATCAAGATAAACGCACACGCACTGACATTAACCACAGATGTCCAGTAATAGACTCGTGCTCTTGCAGACTCTGCTTGTCTATCCAACAGACCAACCCACATCTCTGTGCAGATGGAAAAATATCAGACCACAGCAGGTTTTATTTTTGACTCTCAAACTGAGCTGCTAGAGCCTCAAACTGGCAGGGGCCTCTACAATTAGTAGAACAAAAGGACTTTTCTTTTCTTTTTTATTACAGAAGAACAGTAAATGCAGTACTAATATTTTTCTTAATATCTTTAGTTACGGATGTAAATAAGCAAATTAAAGTCACAACACTTACAGAGATGAAATTATTTTGGAGCAACATTTACCGTAGATACTGTATCTATGTCATTTACTGTGAACCGAGCAGCTCTTGAGACACTGAAAATAATGGAACATGAGCTGCTGTGTTAATGAACACAGTGCCATGTTTCACTTTGAGAAATGCAGTGCATCAGATTGCATATTGCCGATTTTGCCATTTAATAATCACATTTATATTCTCACAACCTTGCATTGCTAGAATTCATGAAAACATTGCTGGCCAAGTGGTGAGTTTCATTTGCTGGGGGCTTAAAACTATGAAAAAACAAAAAAAAATATTTCAGAATTAATTGTAAATTCTGCTGCTGTATGTGGTGATTTTTACTAATCCCAAAATTCAGCCATAGACTCAGGAACTGCTGGGTGTCACAGGAGATTCCTAGTAAAATTATCACTTAGATAAATCTGTTAAAAAAGTTTGAGACCGTTTGAAAATTGATTATCTTCTAATGGCGACACCTGCATACACCACATCCTCCTCCTCTTTACCTTTCTGTAAAAGAAAAAAAAAAACACATCACACAGGTATAATAATACAATCTTATAAATTAAAATGTGACTAATTAACCCTGAAGACTGACTGACTTTTTTGTCTAATAAGAGCAGTCAGCACTGATTTCAGAAGAAAATGTATATACTACTACTAAGCTAACATGAAGTTTGATGTCAATGACACTGTATTAGCTGGATTAATAAAATGCAACTTTCAAATTTACTCGATTGAAGCATTGTTTTAAAGTGAAGCTGTATATTTTTATGCGTTTAAAGTATTGTATGTTGAGTCTTGCTTTTACAAAATGCTGTGTGAAAAAAAGAGTGATTTCATAGAACTGCATGGTGCAGAGCAAACAGTGTTGTAAGTCTAATGCAACTTGGTAATAGTTAATTGGTAATGGCACCTAAAAATAAAAAAATGTAGTTGCACAAACAAGAAACTAGGTCACAGTATGGACCCCTGTAAATAATGTGATTACTGATTTTTTTTCAGTTATTTGAAAGTTGAAGTCTGTAGTGATGATGGAATTTAGAGATCCTGCACTCTTTCACCGTTTCATAGTTGCTTTAAAATATATATTTCAGCACAATAACCTACGGACAGAAACCTCTGAAGTTGTTCAGTAAATTTGGACAATTATGTCATCAGCTGACACAGAAAATACTGCATCAGTGGCTCATGTTGATCATTGGAAATATGAACTAATCACCTGAAAATGGACTTTGTTGTTTTGTGACTCTCTTCAGTTATTATAGTGAGTGTCGTGAATATCATGGGATATACGTCAATGTTTCTCACATTGAATGCTGATCTTAATGGCTTTTCGAAATGCTGCCGTGTTTTTTTGTTTGTTTGTTTTTGTCTGTACATACAAGCGCACACACACCTAAAAATGTGACTGCTGAAATCATACAGAGATGCTCAACAAAAATGAATAAATTAGAAATAAATGATCTTACCGATTTCTGTGCTTTTCTTTTGTAGAATGTTGGATCAGCGTAAGTGATCTCTTCATCATGAGTTTGAGCTGTTTCAAAAATGCATCAGTGGCTCATGTTGATCATTGGATTAATTAAAACAACTAAAATAAAGTCCCTAACAAAGCCTGCATTTATCAAGTATAGTTAAAAAGACATTAGCGAGAGAGATACTTTGCAGATCATTTATAAATCAAAGCCAAAAGGATTAGCATTTTTTTTTCTGTGTGACAAATATTAGTCATCATTGAAGCTTAAGTAAAACATCATAATTCAATTTCATTTGAAAACCAGCTCAGGACTGCATCTTTACATGTCATAAACTGTGGAGAAAATTCATTTATTAAATTCATTTCTGTGTTAATTTCAGTGTGCTTTAGTTTCAGTAATTCATAATCTTGTGTGCACGCGTAAGAGTAAAGGGTGTAAACTACAAATTATTTTTAGAATAATTGTAATTAAATGATACTTAAGGCTACTAATCAATTAAAATATTTAGTGTTTTTAAAGTGTAATTTTTGTTGTAGTACTTATCAAAAGCTGTAGGTAACACTTGCCTTCTTGATGAGTTTTTCTGTGTTTTCTGCAGATGCAGCACATCACAACTGCAGCTACAATCAACAGAGATCCAGCAGCAGCAGAAATCAACACTATCAGAGACACGGTTTGTAAAGTAATGTTTCCATCCAGTGCTGTAATCATGAAGAAGTAAATGTGTCAGTCTGATCTACAACAAAAACTGTGATCAACTCAGAGAGTAATGGCTAATATCAGCGCTGCTGTACCTGCACATGTGTGACAGTGCTGAGTAATGTTGAGATGTGTGGTCTGGTTGCTGATGGGATTGTTGAGCACACAGCTGTAGCTGTTTTTATCCTGATATTCCACCTCCAGAGGTAGAGAGAGACTGCTGCTGAGATCAGACACACTGATGCTGGACAATAAACTGTTTCCTTTGTACCAGGAGAGAGTCACATGACTCACATTCACCACTGAACACAACAATGAACAATTCTGCTGTGATGATGATGATGAAGAGCACTTTGAAGAGCTATTGCTGATGACAGGAACAGGCAGACGAGCTGCAAACATGAGTGAACAAGTCTGGATAAATCTAATCAATAGTCCTATTTTTCATTTAATGTTTAAAAATGGTTTTGTGTTCACAGTGTGTGTGTGTCATAAACTATAAAATGATTTAAAAATTCAGTATGTAAAAAACAAAAAAACAAAATAATGTATAAGGACATAAAAATGATCACTGCTCACCATAAACCGAAACATTGGATGTTTGTGATGACAGTATTGCTCCACGTATCTGTAGTTTATAGAGTCCAGCATGTTGAGTTGTGATGTCTGTGATGGTCAGAGATCCAGTTTGATCGTCCAGTTTCAGTCTGTCTCTGAATCTCCCATCAGGAACATCAGATGTGTTGAAGATTCCAGCAGCTCTGTTGATTTTAGCTATCGGAGAGTTTTCAGCTCCAAAGGTCCACAGTATATCGTCGTCTTCATGTATTTGAGTAACATTAGTGTGTAAAGTAACAGAATCTCCCTCCATCACTGACACCGACTCACCAAACACACCTGATGAACAAACAGATTGTTCACATATTAAGCTTCCTGTTGTTTAGTTTGTAAAATGTGTATTAAAGAACAGCAGCAGAGACAGCCACTAATTTCATTGTTATGGTGTTTTATCAGCTGTTGAGTAAAATACAAGAGTGAAGTTACACAAGTTCAAGCATGAAAGTACAAGTTTACTAATGCTACTCACATTCAATACATTTCTTTTATGAATGGGATATTTTATATAGGAGAAATCCAGCTCACAGTACCTCACTCATAGTTTTACTGCATTTTGACCAATGAATTAACATGACTTTTATAGTTGTTCATTATTACTGCTGTATTATTAAGCATATATTTTTATATAATTTTTTTTAGATGGCTGGGGAAGAGTTGCAACATGTCACGTGCAACAATCAGTTAAATGAGAGAAAAGTGATTTCTGTGCCTCTATTATACTTAATTTTAAAATGCTCATTACTTTTCAATTAAATTTAATATGTTAAAAATGATTTCTGGTGCACCCAAATCGAAAACACAAATAGATACCTGAATCCTAAGTGGATGAAAATACTTTAATTTGAACAGTAGCATTAGCTTATTACACTGACGTGGAATGAAGCTATAAAATGCTTTCATAACTTACCAATCAGACGCCAGAAGCACAAACAGAACAAAACAAATGTGTGAATCATTTTCTTTAAGTGTCTGAAGTAGTAATACTGTCCACCAAAAAACATTCTGACTGCTAATCTAATGTCTGAATCCTCCCCCGAGAGAATAAGACCCTCCTTTAGTTCACTCACACACACACTCTCTCTAAACAGTGTGTAGTTATGTAAAATATAATGTATAACATGGTTTTGTTAATGTATAATGATTTTATATATGAAAAGACAGTGCTTTTCCCTGCTCACATTCCATGAGGTCGTAAAAGTATCTGGTGTCAGGGTTGCCATGGTTTGGTGTCATTTGCAGACATCCTGGCATCCAGTTTATTGGGTGAGGGGACTGTGGCGATTTGTTAATCTAATGAAGAACTGATTTGTTAAATCAAATGAAAAATTGTGTGTTTGATTGGTCCAGACGCTACACAGATAACATATGATTCACTACAAGAGGCCTTTATTCACCCCCCATAGCCGTGTGAGGGATGTTTTATTATGGATGTGCGTGCTTTGTTTGACAACTTGTGGACTGTTCAACTGCAACACCCACTGACTGCAATGATAGAGCTTCGAATAGCCAGGACAATTTTTAATATAACTCTGACTGGATTCGTCTGAAAGAAGAAAGTCATATACATCTAGGATGCCTCGAGGGTGAGTAAAACACAAGCTAATTTTCATTTTTGTGTGAACTAACCCTTTAAGATGCATGCTATATATATATATATATATATATATATATATATATATACATACACACAGTATATAATGGTTAATTTCTTGTTAATCTCAGGTGTGTCTGATGCTGGTTCAGATAGAGTGTCAGTGTCAGTGAAGGAGGGAGATCCAGTCACTCTACACACTGATGTTAAAATTAACCATCAAGACATAACGATGTGGTATTTTAATGGCAAGCGCATTGCTTACATCAATGGAGTTCAGAAGATCTGTACAGATGAACAGTGTCCTGAGAGATTCAGAGACGGACTGAAGCTGGATCATCAGACTGGATCTCTGACCATCACAAACACCAGAATCACAGACTCTGGAGAATATAAACTACTGGTGGGCGGCAGCAACAATGAAAAGATCTTCAATGTTATTGTCACTGGTGAGTCATTTAATTAATGTTTAAATGCAGGTTATATGTTTGTGTTTATATGTCTTTTTTTTCTTTTAGCAGTGACAAGTCTTTACCTGCTTCAGAACAGTATAAATTTAATCCACATTTTCTATACATTGGCTGTCTGATATTTTTAAAAGTTTTTAAGTCAGAGTCAATAATATTATTGTCCTATCGTCAGCCTGTGAGATCGCCAATGCACAATCGTGCTAATTTATTGATTTATTTACTTACTTGGTTTCATAGCCAGAGAGTGAATTAACTCCAGCATAAGGCTAAAAGCAGCCTAATGTTAGAGTAATCCTCTAACTCATTACATGTTTTTAATATGACTGAATTTGTATTTAATATTCTAACAGTTTAATAAAAACATTGTAAGTTATTAATTATAATGCTTACATTTACTTCAAAAAGTTCTTTAAAAAGCAGCTACAGAAAACGAGCAAAGAACATTTACATTACCAAAGAACATCATCAATGACTTCAGTCTAGTGCAAGTTTATGCACAAAAAACTCACATTATAATTAGTGAAGCTGTCTAAACTGTATGATGAATACATTTATTATACTTATATCGCACATACATATGCATTTTGTTGTTTATGATGAGAATTTGCAATAGAGCAGAATTCAGTCAGCGAGTCAGCTCAACAAAACTGCGGTGACTCATCTGAATGCCTCTGATTGGCCGCTGCATTCATAAACTCAATGGAATCGTGTGTGATT